AATGAATGGAAATCTTGGCGATTTGGTCGCGACGATTAAGTCGCGTGAAGTCTGACCGGGGCCTTACACCAATGCAGATTTTTTGCTTGATTTCATTTCTCCAGATTCATACTGACCACAGCGAAATCGTTAAAAAAGATGTTATACCTTTCAAGAAAACCGTGGCTCACAGACTTATGGATCACTAACATATACATCAACGAGTAATCATTTTTAACCGTTTGTTCGGAAATATTCCGTAAGTGGCTGTGAGTTAACATGCGCGGTGTGCAAACTCAGACACATATAATTGACTTTTACCCAGTGTTGTCATGAAACAAAATTCTATGGCATCTGCTGCATATAAGTAAGTCAGTGGCTAACGAATTGAATTGCTACTACTATTTGAATTTGTTCGTGACTAACTCTTATATTCATTTTCTTTCTGTAAAATTTATGCAGAACTTTTTATGACCGACTCTTATGCAACAATCTCATTGCGGCCTTAGCTTGCCTTGTTCATCATCAAACCCAAAATATCGCGGTAACAAGTTCATCGCCTCATTGAAAACAGGCACGACAGAAAAATAAATGAGGGTGTTATTTTAAATGTTTTGTCCTGAGCTCTGCGATTACATGCGGGAATAAGACGGTTTTTTACATGCGTAAAACCAAGTGGTAAGAACATGAGGGGCAAACTTTTTTCATTGTAATCCTTCTTTGTTTTCAAAAAGCAGCAAACTTTGTCATAAGTGTACGAGCTAAATTTATTATTGAAGCTACACAAACTCTTTTTTCTTTCGCTGATCCTCCCTGTTTAGTCATAATGACTCCTCAGGCTAATCTCGTGTTAAGAATGGAAATTCTGCACACTACTGTAGGCAGATAATCCCACGAGTATTTAGCAAAATAGAGCAAACACCCTTTTACGAATTATTCTGCAAAGCTGCAAATGAAAAAAAAACGCTTAGGAAGCCATCAAAGAGAATCTTGTCGAGTCATAAAATTTCATAGTAATTGATATTGGTAACTCTTTCATGTCAAAACATATATATGTATATTGCTCGAAATTTGGTTTTGATAGCAGAATGAACCTTCTCTCTGAGTTTCAGAAGAAAAGACAATGATAATGCATTGTGAGTTCGAAAAATAAATTACATCTTGATTTTTTAGTTGGACTAGTATGAGCTTGAGTTACTTCTAAATGCTCAAGAATGGAAAGAGCATTTTCAAACTATGTGGTGAATATTCTGCATTGCATTCATAAAGAAAATTCAAGGTCAAAATATTTTACGAAGGTAGAAATTATTGTCTTTACAAGACTGTTATTCAGATAAAAAAGCATATTTTGAAGTTGACATGTTACTTGTGAACACAGTTATGCTGTCACAATAATTAAGTCGATGTTAGTTTAGCCGGTGCTCGTTTAAAAGCCACATTCATAATCAATGTCAGCATTTGGTTACTCAAGAAGTGTATGTAAGGTATGATGGAGATGTACAAAAATTTTGAATCCCGTAGTAACACGAAACCATGTTTCTTCCACCATAATTCTCACCGTATTCAACACTAACAAGTGGCAAAGTACGTATGCCACAATCTCGCAAAAAAATCCATCAGTCTTCGTAGTAAGACCACCTGCCTAAATCTAGAAAGCGAAACATTTTTTATCCTTTTCCAGAAGTACTGGCTTTGTCAGTCATCGTTTAATGAAACCATAGATTGGCATTGCACGTTTTCGGACACTAAATATGTTTCTTGACAACTTGATTTGCTGATTATCGGTTTTTCAAAGCTGTCAGAAAATGACGAATGTTGTTATAACACAACCGAAAATGCTTCAAAAAAACTCTCATCTTCAGGAGTGTCTTAAATCCCAAAGAAGTGCACTATAAAGTAGTTTAGAGTATTCTGACTTAGAAGCAAACACTGTGTGAATTAATGATAACCTACGATTAAGCTTCCCACAAATCTTGTTTACATAATAAGTCATAGGATAAGCTTTCAGGAACATCCGAGAATCCCTAAGTACTTAGAACGATGATAGGCCTTATCATGAGTACTATGATCGTGCTATGAACACAACTTGGCATAAGTATTCCTGGCGTTTTCAGAAAAAAAACCTTCATGAAAATCGCACCACGTTCTCTTCAGCGTGTTTATAGAATATACGAATCAACTCCTGACATAAATGCTGTATTAAGAACAATGAGAGATGAAAACAACGAATTTCACACTGATCACGGCCTCAGCTAGCAAAGAGGAACGTGTTTTGAGGGCAAACAGGGATCAGATATTCGTCATAAGGTTTTAGGATGTTTTCGGATATCTGTAAAATTTACGAGCTCAAGCTTACCAATTTTTAAGAGTTTCTAGAAAAGCGCATACGCGATAAAACTTCAGCAACTATGCAGTCGGCTCCTACCTTCCCATACTTTCCAATTTTGATCGATTCCCCCCTACAACCTTCATTTTTTTGTCAGCATCATTTTAGCATCGATGAACGAAGTCTTCAAGTTTCAAGTAACGTACTAAAATATTCTCGTCTTGGAGTGAAGTCAATTTCAGTAACCGCTGCTGTACGGGTTGAATGACCGCATCACGGTGTTGGAAGTGGAAGCATTATAAGGAAGTGCAGCAGGAGAGTGGTGTTTTAGTATAAATAAGTAATACGGCAGGGATATATGGGTGTCAACTGTCAGTAGTCTTCTGATATGGTGGTCAAGCTCAATCTTATGGAGGAGTGATCATCTTTGATTTTGGTGTTGAGCTCAACCGGTCGATGAATCCCGTTGAGGAAGTTTAATGTGCATGTATGCACTGTTTGATCGTTAGTATCTTCCTAACCCCAATATTTTTGCCGATGTTTGGTATCAATCTGTGGGGCCAGCCTCAACTTACAAGGAAAGGAAGGTTGGTCGAAGTGGCCTTTTGAAATGAGATATGCAAGCCTTGTAGAGCTTGGGACGCTGATTCCAAATCTACCTTTGCTATCTGCTGCGGGGCTTCTGGGCGAGGAGTTATGAAGGTTTTTGTGAGTAAAAATCTGGATGCAAAAATAGGGTAATGACAGTCGTAACCTTTTCCCAATGTTCAAATGAGGCAGCAGCGAGTCAGTATACTTGAATTATGAATATTTGTTGCACCAAGTGACTCGACTACGAATTAAGCCCTATAAAAAATGTTACGACTGATTTTAGGCTACTCTTGCATTCAGATTTTCACAAAAATCTTCATAACTCCTCGCCCAAAAGCCCGCAGCAGATAGCAAAGGTAGATTTGGAATCAGCGTTCCAAGCTCTACAAAGCCGTTTACATCTCATTACAAAAGGCCACTTCGACCAAACTTCTTTCCCTTGTTAGATCCTCACAAGGAGAGGTACTTAGTCGAAAGCGCCAATCCAGATGAAACATATATCATCTTGAAGCGCTTGAAACGCTAATTCCAAATCTGAAGTTTCTAGCTGCGGAGCGGTTTTGTGAAGGGAGTTATGAGGGTTGTTTCCCTCTGGGGTCGAGGCGTCCTCCACCATTTCTCCCCCTACAATAAGCACTGTAGTATCAACTGGTGGCAACTGACCTAGTTGTAAGTGACGTGCTTGATAAGGAGAGTGTCAAGGTTTCAATCCTCTTCGCATGCAACTTCATCGCACTAAATGGCTTTGAAGCTCTAAAGCTTGAAATTTTTGATGATATTGATGCTATTGAAGTGTTAAAATGCCAAAGTAATACGAGTATTATGATCCTTACTGTAATCTTCATTCAAGTTACTTAATATGAGGCCAGTTGCCACCAGTTCGTAGTACTCTACAGTGTTTATAGGTAGGGAGACATGGTGGAGGGCGCCTCGACCTTAGAGGGAGACACCCCTCATAACTCCCTTTACAAAACCGCTCCGCAGCTAGAAACTGCAGATTTGGAATCAGCGTTTCAAGCGCTTTAAGATGATATATGTCTCATTTGGATTGGTGCTTTCGATCAAGTATCCTCTCCTTGTCAGTAAGAAGCGAGTCACCAAACTCTTTATTATGTTAGGATTAGATGGAACTTTTGTTGCACACGACCATTGTAAATCAGCTTGCTTTTCAAAAAATATCCTAAGATATTGAAAATATCTGTACCAGGTACAAACATGTAAGTATAACACTTAGCTACTTACAAAGTAACGTTTTTGAAAGGTAAGACACATTTTTCAGAAAGAGAGAGAGAGAAAGACAAACAGCTGTTACGTGGCTGACATATTTGTGTCAGCGACTGTTAAGAGCTATTGTCAGAGGTGTCATCGGTGGTATAATTACCCGAGTTTGGGGTACTTTCCCTCAGCGGAAGATACCTAAGGGCTGTACGGTCCTTCACGAAGGACCGCGCGGCCTTCAATAATCTTGCACATTCTCGCGGGAAGTCCGCAAGAATGCGGTCAATGCGCCGCAACTAATCTACAAAAAACCGCAATTGTTCTCCGAATCCTTGTTCTCAATTCTTCATTCGTCTAACTCTCCAACTTTCTTCCAAGTTTGTGCAGGCGGACCGCAGGAAATCAGCGAACTATTTTTCCGGTACCCGCTTACCCAAAAATCGCAGTGCCGCCTGCCCTCGGCGATTATGTGAGTGGTTAATCACGAGGATAAGAAGCATGTGCAAGAGAAGAGCAACTTCAGAACAGATATTTAAAACAGAGCAATTATTGATTGTCTAAACCTCATGATTAGCAGTGCCTAGACAGACGCTAGTACACGAAACAGTCGTTAGCTTAATTTTTACACGTACACCACGTTACTTACTCCATGTTAATTTTAAGCCATATTGGTTTGATCTTTTTTGAGCGGTTAATTCTACTCGAAGAAGTGTTGCTATAATTTCTTGCTCACTGCAACTTGCGGTTTGGAATAAATCAAAGTAAAACAATCAAGTAATAAGTGAAGCATTCATTAACACTACACATATCAATCAACGAACAGAAATGAATCTTTTGTTTGAAGAACAACGTTCCTGACTGTTATGAACGTTGATTGAACGTTTGAGCGCAGCAAACTGATGTTTTATCGTTCGACAGAAGTCGTTGGGTACACTGTATATTGCACATCATGTTGACTTTGTGAAAATTGAGAGCTGAGGTCGACGAAAACCCTAAAAAACATTCACGTCAAGAATAAAATTCTCCTGTGCATTCTAAATTGATTCTTACCGTATTTTGCGTAGAGATCATTTCAGGCGGCACAGCTATTGCAGAAGAAGAGAGCGTTTTAGCCCTTGCTCGACTTGCCGTATCGTGAGGTAGTTTCATTCTTTTTTCTTTAGCATTAATAGGTAAATGCTGATTCGTCCTCTTCTAGAATTGTTGGCATAGGTTCAAAGTAGCCGAATTGCGATGACAGTGATCTGCACCTGGAGGAAAAAAAAGAAGTTGGAGGTGACCTCGTGTCGCATAGTGAACAAAATTTGGTAAGGAGACTCACTGCAATTCCTGTAGTTTTCTCTGCTCGTAAAGTTGTGCTAAGCATTTCCTTGAAGAATGGATTCGATCTGAAAACAGATATTGAAGTAGAGATCAGTTGAAGTCAAGAACTTGCTGTCCTTTTCCCATATAGGCCTCAGCTAAAATCAACTACAATCATTCTCGAAGCCTTATATAGCCTACATTCATTTACAATTCTACAAAGCAAAATTGGGGCAAACTCTTGCATTGTTAGTTATCGCTTTATCTTCACGGTCATGCCAATTTCAAGATTGAGTTGCATTAATCTTATTTGTAAAACAAGCGTTAAATTTACTTTATTTTACACCTTATAATAAGTCTGATTTCAAAAATGAACTTATTAGTGAATGAAGGCGAAACAATGTGGCATTACGCATAAGGTAAGGCCAGACTCAGCGTTCGCCGACGCTGTCAACTTTGAAACCGCAAAATAAAGGTTCGATTTGCAACGGCCTTGTGCTAGTGTATAAGCATTGACAAGGTGCCTAGAATACTCCAACTCCATAAAATCTACCATAACGCTCGGGTAAACTTTTGAAAAGAGCAATCTAGAACACACACCCTTTTTCAATAAGTGTGGGTTCTGCAGGCCTCGCACTGCCGATTCCCTCAAATTCTCACATTCACAAAGCCTCTGGGCATTTTGCCGCGCCCACCAGGCTTCAATCTGGTTACCTACCCAAGCTACACGAACCAGCGTTACTGTCATGGAGACAGATTAGAAACTTCAAAAAGCGTTCTCTAAAGTTGACGCAAGTGAGTGCTAGAGAGAATGTAGACTTGGCGTTGTTGCATTGCATACTAAAAGAAATGAAGGATACTCCATGTTATCTAAGTGAAATTAAATAAAATCCCAAGATGATGAACGCTATTAGGCCGTATTGATGAGTATAACATTACGATTGACTTACGTCCTTTGCCAAGCAGCTTCATCAACTTCATAAAAAAGTGTATCCTCTTCATCGACATTTTGGTGCTGGGATCCTATGGTAAATGAGCTGAGTGCAGTAATGTAGTGAATGACTTAGATGTACGATGTAAAACTGGAATTTATGCACCATCTTTCGGAGGCGGGGCCGAAGAGAACGTTAAGGCCCCGTCCAGAAGACAGCGAAGGGATTATTTTGAGAAATATCGATGAAACATTCAATTGCTACGAAAATTTCTATGATAATAATACTTTCAAAAGGGAAGAGCAATTTTCATAATGGCGTTCCTAAAAGGAAATTTAAGTAAAATGGGAAGTAGTTCATGCTATAATAGCTGAATTAGTAGAAAACCTTTGGTTACTTTATTTATCTGTTATGGAAACGGAATAAAAGATATTTTTTGTATGATAATTAAGCATTTACCACTGAACTGTGAGATCGATAAAAAACAGTTAAATTTATTTTGAGTTCAAGTTTCACTATTCTCTTATTGGAAATGACCTTCATTACGTAAAAAACTTGAAGTCGTAATCAAGGAACGTTACAATTGTTCAAAATTTGAGCTTGCTGTCGCCATCGATTTACAATAAATGTTGTTAGCTAATATGATAAGTCTAATTCATTCTTAGATTGCTTCACTTCGTTCATAACATTTGAGTCCTTTCTATGTGATATAACTGCTATATATTTTCCATAGTTTCAACGATAACAGGCTATGCAAGGCTTCGTCAAGGGACAGCTTTACCCGATACGACCTCTACTTGCCAATAAAGAAATAGACATGCTTCTTCTATGCTTTTTATAGCTGAGACCCGATTCATTCAAATGTACAATCCTTTTTAATGAACTCTTTACCTTTTAGCCTCGTTTGAGTGCGAAAAAACGAAGTAATTTTTTGATGGCATATCGAGGGTTTTAGCTTGCCTCAGTGCTTTTGAGCAAATCGAGAATTAAAGGCACGCCCATCGGACTCTCGACTTCGATTGTTGCCTAGAACTTTTCATGGAGATGACTCCATGATCAAAGTAAAAGGGGCGTTGAAAAAGTTAAATCCTATTCTAGAGACCTTCTTTGAACAAAATAGGTACAAGCACATTGATCTCAGCAGAGAATATGCGTATCAAGTGCACTTCTCCCCCGCAGCGCACTGCATCTCTTGGTAATTCAATGGCATCTCCGTAAATGACAACAATTATTCATGGATTTAAACAGTTTTTCTGCTCAAAAATATAAACAGGAAAGATTCTACGATTATCTTTTCGATTATAACGATATCTTCAGATAATGACTTAATGATGATACGAACGCAAAGGTCACCTGAGCTCTTACGACCGTAAGAATATTGTTCGGGAAGTACAGCATTATAAATGATGATCAGCTGTGATATGTGTATGAAAGGTTTGAAAGGCCGTTCAGGCAGATCTGGAGTCATGATGGTATGTGGAGACTAATGCGAGACTAATGAAGGAATGCGGTTGCAGAGAGAGAGAACAGCGGAATTAAAACTTGAAATAGGTAATTGCAATAATTTCAAGGTAAAAGGAAATCTCGCGTACAAATTGTCCGGTTGTTAACAGTCTTTGCAATAAAATACAGAGTACAGCAAATCAAAGTACAGTAGTACAGTGAAAGTACTGCGGAGTTTTCGAAATAAGTTGGAGAGAACATGTAGAACATGCAGACATTCTTCTGAACCACGGTTGAACCTTTTTGAAATGACGATTTCTCCAACACATAGGTCTCTCACTCAATTCTCTCACTCTTTGTGAAATATTGAGAGCAACCAATGCTTTTTAGCAGCTGATCAACTTTTTCAATTTGATTATTTCTCACAGATCAGTTTCTTGTAGAACATGAAAAACCTTTTTTGGTTATGCTTACTCATTTTGTCAAAAGTGCTTTTATTTCTTTTAACGCTATGCACAATTTTTAGTCTTTTTTCTTCTGAAGGCACTCTATTTACATGAGCACAAGACACGACTGATGGCTACCTTACTAGTAGCACTAATCTGGCTATCGTTATTGCTTGGTGCCCTCAATAAAGCTAATAAGATTTCCGTAATGGAAACCATACGGTGAACGCCGAGGTTCCCCACTGGAGGAAACAACCGTCCGCGATTTTCTTGACGAGATGATGGGCTAGATTTCAATAAACCTTGTATGCTCATCTCATCGTGCAAAACATTTACCATACTTTTCTCATTCAAACTGGTTATTCTTGTTTGAAACTACCGAACAACTCCTATGCTGCAAGAATCCTCAAGTCGTTATTTTAGGATAACGTTTCGTCATTTCAGAGAAACCCAATAATTTGCTAAGAAGTAATTCGGAATGACGAAAATTATAACTAAGCTATACGCGCGCAATCAGCCTATCATACGAAGGGTTGAGAAATGATGATATGATGCAATATGCCACTGTTTAAGTTAACGAGTAGCTATATACAGATGTGATAATCATGGTACTTCTCTGTCTTTCAGAGAAACCCAAATTGCGTGCCTTTTCGAGTAAAAGTTTCTCTGAACTGCTATGATACATAACACGAAGTGGTAAGTTTGAAGTCAGCAAAACACTGAGGTGAATAATAACCAAATAACCGACGGAAACAGATTTCTGTGTCATGAAAAGCAGCAATGTGTGCAAAAAGCGGAAAGACCGTGATACCATTGTTAGTTTGATTGGCGTAACTTATGGCAAGTGCGAACATTATTTCTAAGGGTTCGCCCATACTTTGCCGTCAATTGTTGCCGGTGTGTTAACGGGGGTTAGCGATGTTAACGACCAAACCTCTCCTTGTGTCGGCTTGTTGTAGCGCGTTAGTTGACATCGACATTAAAAAAGTGCATTTGTCTGAGTTCATCAGATAGATGAAGTCACACAAATGCATTCCAACGCTTCCCTGATTCACCTAATCTTGTAATTAAAGAAGTGCTTTCGAAGTTTAAAGCCCATTGTTTTCGCTATGTCCCACTTCGGCAATTCTTGAAATTTTCGGTTCTGACTTCCAAAAGTGGTTTAATAAATTTGGATGGAAAGAACAAAGGGTAAGGTTATGCGTGTTTTCGGCATTTATGCTTTAATAATTTTTCGAACATTTTTTGATGCTATAAAATTCCATCTTTGATCAGCTTATACCACATAGAACATTAATCAACAAGCAACTCAGATGCCATTCCATGCGACTCTTTCTGTCTCTAACTGATGTTTTTTCTTTCGGATTCGTTAGTTCTAGTCCTCGAGGACCACTGATCATAATTTTCATGTTTTTGAACGCTGGCCAGGCTGTACCTGCGTAATTTGGAAACTGGTATTTCGATGCGGTAAGCACTCTGCTTTGTAATTTAGTGTTGAAAATAACCAATTTCGGAAAGTCCAAGACTTATCGGTGATAGCATTTTAGCCAAATTCATTCGCTGCAGTATTCTGAAAAAAGACGCCACATAAACACCAGTTGCTGTACTCCAATGGGTCGTAACTGCTGTCGTTGTTGTTTAGTTCATCTACAATCAACTTACAGTATTGATCAAATTAGTTTGCAAAAAGAAATTATTTTTTATGACGAAGCAACAACAGACGAACTGAAAGTCTAACAAGGAATGCATGTGTAGTTGAAGTGGCTTTTTTAGGACGTATACCATATAGGGCATAAACTGCTGGTTCCAAACCTGCCTTCTGCAGAGCGTTTATGGACGAGAAGTTAAGAAGTTAACCGCTTATTGGGGCAAAAACTTGAAGGTGCAAGTAGGACAAAAATGGCCGTAATACCTTTCCTAGCTCTTTAATGGAGCAGTGATAATCATCAGAGCATTTTATTTTGAAAATACTCCCAAATAAAAAATATATCACACTTGGTTGCATTATTGGGCTAGTAAGATTTTAGCAACTTATTTTATCCAAAATGCACGTTCAATTTTTGGCTTAAAAGCGTTCATAACTTCTCGTGCATAAACGCTTTGCAGATAAGGAAGGCATATTTGGAGTCAGTGTTTTATGCCCTTCAATATGGTATACATCTCATTCAGAAAGGTCACTTCGACTAAACAAGCTTCCCTTGTAAGGAGCACCGACAAAGCGAAACAAGCACTGCAAGATAGTTTCTAGCATAATTCGTGTTCAGCCAAGTTTAAAGCTAAAATCTACAAACAAATCATGACGTCAAAAATCGGATCAGCCCTAAAAAGTACTCAGAAAAATTCTACTTGCTTCCCATAGAAGACACGGTTACCCCTATGTATACTTGCTACATTATTTTGCAGTTAGAAATTAAGAGATGTTGATGAACGGAAAGCGGCCCTCCGTCCTTGGTTTCAGTTCCCCTGTAAGCCAGTGGGCATTAAACCTTGGCAATCATCCAAAACTCCACCCTTGTACGAGCTTTATTTCTCAAAAATGTCAACCTTTCTGGAGAAAGGTTGAAGGAAACCGAAACTGAGTAGACGACTATTTGCGCCGGAAGGAGAGGTCTCGCGCGGACACCTATAATACTTACGCATCTCTCGGGAACAGTTCTGGCACAGCTCTCAAAGTGAGCGCTGTGCTGGAACTGTTTCCGAACTTCCGGATCAGTATGAATGCAGCCTACACGACGCCCGTTCTTGTTTGCATCCGCGCGGGACCTCCTCCACTTTCATCGACATGTCATCCTCTATCCGGCAACACTTTTTCCTTTCCAGCTTAGGCTGCGTTCATTCTGATTAAGAAGTTCGGGAACAGTTCCAGCACAGCGCTCAAACTGCCCGCTGTGCTGAAACTGTTCCCGAATTTCGAAATCAGTATGAACGCAGCCTTAGGGGTTGAGTCAAACACTAATTTCGCAAGCGTATGCGACGTACGCCGGAAAGGCAGCGCGCAGGTACGCAGTCTACGCCGCATACGCTCGCAAAATTAGTGATCACCTACTGCTACAGGCCAGTGCGACACTTTCCCCCATTTTTTCTCTTCTCTTTCAACAATTCCTCTCTAAAGCTATAAGTTTCTCATTGCAACCTATGTGACTTGGGCTACACATGAATTGTAAACGTTATCGTCTAGCGGCCGTGCCGGGCGTGACATGCTTGACATGCTTTGACATGCTGTTCTCTTTCTGATGTTGTATAGTGCAGTTATCTACTATTACATTATCTCATTACGAAAGATTTTGTGTTTCAGATGAGTGTAGCAATGAATATTTGATAGCCGCCTTCGTGCAGAAAGAACCATGTTTGTGCGATAGCGTTCATGAGCATTATAATAGAAAAGACAAAGCATGATGCTTGGCAGTGCGTGAAGCGAAAGCTACAAAATCTCAATCACAACACGCAAGGTGATTGTAATGTTGTATTGATTGTGTTATTATCTAAACACATTTTTTTAGTTGATGAAATTCAGCGCAGATGGAAAAGCATGCGAGATACAGGAAGGGCAGGTCGCTACTCTCTGGGTCGCCCAGGCCACATGGCAATGTGTGTCCCCATCTTTTTTGGATCCTGCGGAAGCTGAAGGGTAAATCATCAACTATTCCGACATAGATCAGAAAAGCTTTTTTCGAATATAAAACTCGACGAAAATTTTGATCTCAATTTTGAAAAAGAAGATGCCGAGAATATTAACAAAACACTATAATATTTTGGAGCATGCCTCATATGACTCACGCAGAACCACCATTATTTCTTCCTTTACCGGGAATCAACAAACCCTGCAGTAGTACGGACAAAGGTAGCTGTAGAATGAAGCCGCTACCAATCTCAATGTGAAAGGAAAAACGGACCTCGATGAGCCCTGGGCCATAGCAAAAAAAGCCAATCTGAAAGAACGTCTAGAATAGTCTGCTTTTGTAAGAATGCCTAGTGATTGATTTTTTTGCCAAAAAATGCTGTGAAAATTCTAACCTCTTAAGCGCAATGTAGCACACATAATGAGGACGATGGGCAGGAATGCGGCTAGTAGCAAGTATGAGACAATTCCGCAAGCTTTGCTAAATTATTCTGAAACAGACGCGTACCCTTAGGCAGTACTGGATGGAGAAGTTGTAACAGAAAGCCAACCGCCAAAAGAAGACCTCCATTTGATGACCAATGACGCACACTTGATATTACAATATCTATAAATTTTTGGTTGACTTTCGCTGTTAGCCAGAGGTTCATTTTGCCGTCAGACTCACTTTATTCTGAGACCTACACGTCCCGATCTCAACTTGCCACCTGCTGCTTAAATCGTTTACGTTTGTCTCGTCGTTCATACTTGCCCGATCTTATTGTCATGTTACAATTTCGCACTTGTGACTTCACCTCCAGCGGTTATTTTTTGAAAAAGTGCTACACAAGGATTTCTTTTTCTTATCGAAAGGAGAAAAAACAGCTTGGGTTTCGTTGTTTTGTTTTCTGTGATACCAAACACCAGTCGATATGACTTTGTGTGACCCAGTTTGCGTTTCTAAGCTGTATCGTCTTCTAGGAGGCGCCACTTAGCCACCCGTTCCTGAGGATTCATATATTACTCCGGTTTTTTTTCAAATCTGTTTGAGGTAGAATGTATTCGGATTTGTCGAATATACAAGAACTGCTGATTTCTACAACAGCAACGCCTGTAAGCTGTTGTAGCAGCTGCTGAAGCCAAGTATGTCGCAAAGCGGAGTTCATAACAAGGACCTCTCTCAGCTTTGCTTTTTCTTCTGGAAGAATCGGAAGCCCGTCACAGTTCATCGCTATCCATTCGCACTATTTTGTGTGATTGAAAGACTTGATGTTTCTTCCGTATTGTTCTAGCATTTACGGTAGCTCAAGTTGGCTGAAACCCTTTAGCGAGGTTCTTTACAGGCACGCATTTCTGTAGTAACCAGTTGACTTGTTTAACTCTTTCTAATTCCAACATTCTGTGCACTCTGGTGACAAAATTTCCTTCCTATGTTAATGACCACATAAACTAAATGTTTCACCAACACTACTCTGTAAGTTGTTGTGATTTCGACAAGAATCAGAAAGAAATGCAAACGCTTAACATGCATGTCAGAAATAGCATAAACAAGGAAATATGCTCTTCAGCAAGCCCAACATAATACAAAAAACAAAAGTGAAGAAAGTGTTACTTACATTGCATAAAGACGAATTCGTCTGTAGATGAACGAAAGCAATGGAAATCTTCGTTTCGTCCCACTCTTGGGCCAAAAAAGAATTATCCCTCCGCGGAACTCATTAGCAATAAAAAAAGATGTAAAACCGTTCTAATGGCCACGTTTAAAAGCAAGTCCATTCCATTGAGCGATAAGCAATGAAACACTTAAGCGGAGCTGATGCTGCCTATTCCACTTGTCAGAACCAAGAACAAAATGGATGTTATCGGATTAGTGCGTATCCTAACTTAAAAGAGCAAGAAATCCAAGCACTGTTATCTAATTGTTAGGAGAAAGATCCTGTTCTACAAACTGGGGCGAGTCACACTGCAAATATGTGACAACACACAGCAGCAAGGGCTTGATAATTCAATAATTATGAAATCTTATCTTGTTGGACAACAGAACATAGACAGGTCATAAGGCAAGAAAAATGACAAAAAAGCCAGCACCTTACCTGATACTTATGCATGAACACGACAAATAAAAGATCAAAAGAACGAAAGAAACCATTAAAACTCGCTTTCATCCATGGTCCCCTCCACAAAACGCTATACGTGGGTCAACACGTGGAAGAGAAATGCCGGCTGAACATGCGTAAAGAATGTTTTTGGTGCGACGTGGGCGATCGCAACAGGCGCGCACTTCCTTGCGCCTATATGATTGCTGCTTTCTAAAATGTGAAAAAATGAAAATGAAAAAAAAACCTAGAAGAAGTGAAGGTACATTGGAATGTTACTAAGTGAAGAAAAGAGTTGAATCACATATATCACAATCAATTCATTTAGCAGTATAGCAAGTAACGAAGTTTACAAGCGAAAGCCTATCGAAAAATAACGTTTAATTTTCCATGCGTGCCGCGACGTACGTGGCAAAGTGTGGCTCAACCACGATGTAATGCGCTCCACTACTACACTGGACCCTATTACTTCGTTGATATTGCTATCCCATTATATCAGAATAATAAATTCTCTTTTAGATCTGTTGAGGCAGTAGAATTGCTGATCGGTAAGTGAACAAATTCGTCAGTGAATTGCTGGCTTGGAAGGAGTTTAATCATTCTAGGTCCTAATTAAAAGCAATTTGAGGCAGTAGACATTGTTGCAGTTGTACTATCCCAAATCCCCTGAGCGTTTATTACACATTTGTATGCTGCGTAAGCATCAAATGATTTCGAATGTGCTACGAGAGCAAGCGTTATTCAGGGGTCGCGCATCAGATTTCGACGAGGTCTGACATTTGCAAAAATTAATTTCTCGAGTTCAACATTTACGCCTGGGAAGTTTGAGTCTGATATGTTGTCGCGCACACTGACCCCATCGGCCATCAGAGACTGATGATCTATCTAGCGATGAGTAGGGCCGAGCAAGAAGTGGCACACAACCGCCGAATACGACCCCTCCTCTAAATTCTACCTTGCCCACCCCTCTCCCTTTTCGTTTGTCTGCCGTAGACATGAAATAAAGGCTTTACCTAACAAAATTAGTAACACATTTGTGATTATCATGTCAGATAATCCCTGTGGACCAAGTTTTAGCGAATTCTGAGGTATTGGGCCACCCAAGTGGTGGCCTGTTGCAAACATACTTACTATATTTCAAAAGCGAATTAGCTACTTCATCTTGTACTCTACGAAGCACTACTCCCTATTTGCCTATGCCATAAATCCTGCTTCAAATAACCATCAAACTACGAAATTAGGAGCCGGTCATCTTGTTTGTCCCGTTTTTCGCTTGCAGTATTTGTGCTTTCAGCTACTATTGCTCAAACAAAAGAAAACGAATTTGGCTCTAATCACTTTTACAAAAACTACGAGATTTTTACTATCAAATTGTGCCTAATCTGCCTCCTAAAATTCTCATTGGAGGTAAGTTAATGGAGTGTGGCTGGGTTGTGCCACACTCCATTAACTTACCTCCAATGAGAATTACATAGTGGCGGCCACAGCTTTTTAGGGATTGTGCCACACCCCATTAACTTACCTTCAAACCATTCAAATATCTGCCTTTTTATATCGTTGCTATTGCTCAACCTTCTTCTTTAGATAATAAAAAAGATCATTTAAAATTGCTTTTTCTAGGGAAAGATGTAATCGTTTTCCCTCACCTATACAAAGGGAAAATGCTGCGGTCCTTTTGGGTTACGGTAGCATGCCTAGACTGCGCCACTATGTATTAGGTTGTAACAGAATTAATGCAGGTTTTCCGCTCACCTTTTTCAGAATGTTGGTTTAGAAAGAAAAACTGTCCTCCCAGAAAGTCTTGCATGCCATTTGAAAGCTCTTTTCTTCTAATTTCTTATGCATTCTTTCGTTGCAGTGGAAGTGAATTTGTCTAGAAGTTCTGAGCCCATGAACCCAAGAAACCAAACCTCGAAATTCTCTCTCTCTCAACATACCTGGCTCTAAAACCACCAGAAACAATCGGAATTCGCTGCAAATTTACATAGTATTTTTGAGTGAGCTATGTTAAAAAATGCATGCTGAATCATGAATTCTAAAAACATTTGAGCCCAGAAATTTCAGAGCAAAATTCAACGGTCGCTGTGGTCTGTCTGCCCTACATAAAAATCCTCAGCGCGAAGCGACTGCGGAGCTTTGGCTTTACATAGGAAGAATAGGTTTAAGACATTTATGGCTGAAAAAATCGGGAGCCGTTTTCCCTATTCAGCTTTGAAAAAATTCAAAAGTTCCAGAAAAGCGATTTTTCAAAATCTCAGAAAAGTCGAAAAAATGAGTACTTTCAAAATTTTTTCAAATGTCCTCTCGCAAAGAATTCTTTTTCAATTCCGAATTTAGCCCTGCTGCACAACCGATCATAGACTACACAGTGAGTTATATTTGCGCTACCTTACTACATTTGATAGTAAGTTATGGTCTCTTAAAGTGAAGGTTTTCCGAAAAAATTCTTGACAGAATTCGGGCTATAAGATTTTTCTCAATGAAGCTACAACAACAAAATAATGCATATTGAGTTGAGAAAGGTTTGCTGATTACAACAATTCTTGCTGCACGCGAAAAGACTACTTGTGTAAAAAGTTATAGTGATCCAAACACAAAATTCAGAAAACCTGCATTAATTCTGTTACAACCTAATAAATCGCGAAAAAAGGCGACAAGGATAAACACATTTGATAGACTAAGTCTCGTAATTTACATAATGGTGATTTGAGCCTGACTGGCCCTCTCTAAGCTGAGATTTGAAAGCGGAAAATGGAACAAATGAGATTTTGGTTTGCACGTAATTCCATAGTTTGGGTGTTATTCGAAGTGGAATACTTAATGTGAGCAAAGAAGTAGTACTTCTTTGTAATAAGTGCAGAAAGAAGTAGTTAATTCACCTTTAAAGCGAAGGTAACATGTTTGAAAATGACTCACTTGGATGGTCCTATA